GAGGAGAAGGGTGCCCTGCTCCCCTTGGCATGCCTTTTCCAGCGCCATTGCTTGACCTGTAGGTCCCCAGCCTCAGCCTACCTCTACCATTAGTTAGGGTTCAGAGAGCTACAGGGCCTGGATCTCCAGGCACACTGCGGCTGGGAAAGGCATGCCAAGGGGAGCACGGCACGGCACCAACATTGCTCCCTCCACACCTTTCTTTCTCATCTGGGCCACCCACGGTGCTGGGGAAGCCCTCTTTCAGTTTAAAACTGTTGCCCCTTGTCCTGTCACTACAGGTCTTGGTAAAAAGCCTCTGACTTTCTTATAAGCCCCCTTTTTATACTGAAAGGCCGCAAACTGAAAGGACTGTTAACGTTTCTGCTGAGATTATGTTACTTCAACAGATCATACCCGATGCCCAGTAACAATTTGTTCTATTTGTGCTCTATAAAAAAAAATCACAGGCAACCTTGGTGTACCTAAAGGTAAACGTAAGCCTAATTTCTTGCTGGCCAAAGGTTGCTTATCATATTCTGGGCAAACCAGATTCTACCTTGTGTTAGTAAAGTCTGTTGTTCTCTTGATCGGTCCTCTTGACAGTTAAGCGATTAATAGTCTACATTTGTTATCTGTCTTTTCTAGGTGTCAGCTCTTGCTTATAATGTTCATGTCTTTATTGAACAGGTTCTCCACTTTCAGGTAGATCAACAGCCTCACCATGTGCGGTATCTGGGCCCTGTTTGGGAGCGATGAATGCCTTTCTGTCCAGTGTCTAAGTGCCATGAAGATAGCACACAGAGGTCCTGATGCGTTTCGTTTTGAGAACGTCAATGGATTCACCAACTGTTGTTTTGGTTTCCACCGCCTCGCAGTTGTTGATCAGTTATATGGCATGCAGCCTATCCGGGTGAAGAAATTCCCATATCTGTGGCTGTGCTACAATGGAGAAATCTACAATTTCAAACAGGTGAGTGTTGTATGGATCATATGGCATTTCCTTTTTTTTTTTTTTTAATTTCAAAACTTGTGGATATTGGGAAAATATTTAAAACATGGGGGATTAGAATATCAGAAAAATTTTAAAAAGTTATCAAATGACTAGTATTTCAAAGGAAGTAAATTTTCTTGAGGTCTGAATCTGTGGTGGCTTAGATAGTAACATACTTAGTCTTTAATACTGAAAAATCACTTTTTAGTTGACAAGATGGGCAATAAATATTCGTGTCTTCAGGTTTGATCAGTTTAAAATAAAGATGCATTCTTTGTTATCTCCTGGGGAGGAGAATTCCAAACCTTCTTCCTCCCCTTTTCCTCTCTTTGTAATGCAAATGCTTTTGGACTGTCCTGCTCTTCAGTTATTTGGGGTCATTCTCCAAGCCGTCGGGTATTGCGTTTTTATTTCTGCATGTTAATCTAGATGGGATATGTCACTTACAATATATTAATGTATAGCATGCATGCTTATGTATTTATGTAAAAGCAACAAGCACTAGGGAGATGTTTCCAGTATGCCACCAAAGTCCTTAGGTGTCTGCAGCTTAAGGCAGATGCTTTGTGGGGTTTTTGAGAGCCACCTAAGCAAGTCTCTTGGGCACAAAACAGGCAGCAACTCTGTACTTACTTCCTGAAGTGTCTGAATGTCCCTGATAGGTGTGATACTGCTGCTGAACATCATCTGTGTGCTCAGTCCCTGTGCTGAGATGTCCAATGCCGCCTGTGTTACTTGTAAAGGGAAGTGGTTCAGATCATCCAAATTTGGCGTATAAAGCAGCTTACAATTGTGACTGTTTCTGAATCATGCTGAAACTGAGTGCTTAAAATGAATCATAAACTGAGCGTGGTAGTATCAGAAACATATGAATAATCTGAGATGTCTTAGTACTTCTAACATCACATTTTTGAAGTCAGAGTCAGGCTGCTGTCAGTGACGTCAGTAACATCAGTAACGTCATTGGGAATTTGACTGAATGGGCAGGAGATATATTTTTTTTTTTCCCAGTCTTTTAAGTATCTGGCTGTTTGAAACGTGAGATACACTTTGCCCTGCAGTCCATGTGAAATGCATTGTATCAACAGTCTGTAATATTTGCCGTGTTTTGCATTGTGGTTTTTCTGCTGTTGAAAGCTGTAAGAATTACTCTCAATTGTGCAACACACACAATCCTAAGGGGATTTAATTATGCAAAGCTTGCATTGCCATCAGCAGGCATTTGTTTAGTTGTTCTCACTACATTACCCTCTTTTTAAAGAGATTTTTCTTTCAGGCTTGTGGCTGAAACCTACCAAGGAAAGGATCCTTGGTGAAACAGGCGTTTTGTTTAGGGCAATGACTTAGTTATTTTAATATTGACCAAAATTGATCCAAGACTTTGCCCCATAAATAACAATTAAAACCAAAGAATTTAAGTTAAAATTCCAAAGCATTGGTTTTGTGGAATTTCTTGGCTTTTTAGTGTTTTATTGAAAAAGAACATGAAGAATATTTGGTCTGACTTAAGTCTGACAGCTAATTTCTTCCTCCCCCACTCCATCTGCACAGGCAGAGTGAAAAGGTTAGTTTGAGGAATGGAGGAAGATTAGGCAGAAGGAAATTCTGTGTGCTTAAAAAAAACACTGAGGAATTGCAGTGACTGCATAAGTAAACCAAAGTTTATTTCTGAAGTACTTTGCAGAGATGTTACCGGTGTCTGTGTCTTTTGGGGTGGAGGGCAGGGGGCTTATGTAAATGTCCTTATTATCTGAGAAGAAAGTGGCACCGAGTGATTTAAGACTAAAAAAAATAATGTTTTTGTTTCTGGTCCTATTTTGAGTGGGATTTTTAGAAGCAGTGTCTGCCTGCTTCTGCCATTTGTCTGTGGGAGATGGGGAGGCTAGTGCTTCTGAAGCCCAGGGTCCTGGGTTTGTAGTTTGATATCCTCATATAGAAATGTATCGCTGAAAACTTGCCATAATGTGAATTGCTTAAGACTGCAGAGTCAATCTACATTGTCTGAGAGATGATCCTGGATAATATTTTGAATACAGAAGTATAATTTCCTTCTTTGGCGGAAATGTTCCTATAACTTTTGAGCTGTGATTTTACAAAAAAAACCTTAGTTTTCTTATTAAACAATTACATGAATGGTGTTGTTTTTTCAGTTAATAAGCAGTCAATGTTTCAAATGCTTATTCATGTATTTCTTTATATTTTTTCTTAGTTGCAGAAGCAGTTTGGATTTGAATATCAAACATTAGTGGATGGAGAGGTTATCCTTCATCTTTACAACAGAGGAGGAATAGAACAAACAGCATCCATGCTAGATGGTGTATTTGCTTTCATCCTTCTGGACACTGCAAACAGAAAAGTGTTTCTGGCGAGAGATACCTATGGAGTCAGACCACTATTTAAGGTGCTGACTGATGATGGATTTTTGGGTGTCTGTTCTGAGGCAAAAGGTAAAATCAGTTGTGTTTAGTGCCTAAATAATCTTAGGTATTGTCGGAGACAAACTTCTTTGCCAGGCTTTTCTTCTAAGTGTGAAGAGGAAGTGAACTGTAAGTTCAGTAATAAATGAACTATATTTAGTAGTATAAGAACTACACATCATTAAAACAAAAACCACAGACAGTAAACCTCTAAGATGTTTGATTGTCCTTAATATCTCTAAAATAACTTGCTTATTTAATTTTATAATTCTTTGTGTTCTGGAATCATAGCCGTATTGAGCCCAAGATATTTTATGTTACTCCAAAGTTAAATGTAGTCTATAGAGTTAGGCTAGATTTATGCTATGATAAAGTATATTAGAATTTGTTCCTGGTGTTCTATGGTGAACTGGGAAATAATGCCACGAGAACTGCTAATTTGTAAAAGCCAAGAATTTTAAAACCTTGCTGAAATTTCCTGCAGCATTGGGTGATTTTCTGGTGACACTTATTTTATTTAATGACGATTTTTTTCCTTTGAGATTACACGTGCACTACTTTTTTTTTTTTTTTAAGTAATTATGTCTGGTTTTGACACTTGCATAAACAAATCCAAATGGTGCCAAAAGGGAGTTTTTCGCCCAAAATTCACTTTGGCTAAAATTGACTTTCACGATTACTTGAGTCTCTCCCATTTACTGTATATCAATTTTATTATCAGACTCCAATGTAGGTTGACTCCTCTAATAGTAGTACTAAGTAGTAGTACTAAGAGCTGTACCATCTCTGCTTCTTGGGAAGGAAAAAGGGAAGTGAACATTTTAGGGACTGTGTCCTATAACCAGCAAAGTGAATTACCGGTTCCTCTCTAACAGCAATTCAGTATCTCTTTTGTGGAGTTCCTCAAGGGGCATCCAGGTGACCAGCAGGTGCAAAACATCCTCCTTCACAAAAGGAATGGAAATGAGGTTTGGCTACAAGTCTGATTCTTGGCGTTCATTAGCAGTGGTGTAGATCAGTCTGGAACTGATGAATTATGAAATCACTAAATCAATGTCAATTAAGCAATCACTTCAGTGATGTAGTTTTATTACAAACTCCTTGTTAGCTTGAGTACACTTAATTTTAAACACAAAATCAGTTATTAACTGTCATTTGAATTCTCATAAGCATGTTACACCTTGACCTGGACATCATGCAGTCAGTTAGAAAAGTGCTCTTCTTAATGCTCACAGGAATAAATTGCTACTTACCAGTTAGTAAAACTTGCTGACTTCCTTTCTCTGCTCTCTGCCTCAGCTTGAGATGGCTCAGATCTATGTGGGCAACCCTCCAGAAGCGGAATCATGCTCCAGCCAGGGCAGACTCAGACTCAAAATGATATTTTTTTAATATCAAATTTAGGATCTGGAGAAAATATTTGGATATAGTTTTAGTACAGAGGCTGTTGAGTGAGGTTTAATGTAACCATCCTAGGTTAAAAACTCTGACTTTTTTTTCCCCATTTTATCTGTAGGACTTATCAACTTAAAGCATTCAACATCCTTATGTCCTAAAGTGGAACCGTTTCTCCCGGGTCATTATGAAGTGTTGGATTTAAAGCCCTCTGGCAAGGTTGCATCAGTGGAATTAGTAAAATTTCATAGCTATAAAGATGAACCACTCCATGCTGCGTGTGATACAGTGGAAACTCTGCCTTCAGGTAGTACAGCAAAGCATTTGCTACTTACTCTGATTAAAAAGTGAAAAAATTACAATCTTTGAGTATAAAATTTGTATTGATTGGTTTTAAAAAGTGCCATTTAAAAAAAAAACTGGCAGAACCTTTATAATGTAGGAAATTGAGAATTGTTTTTGTAGGCAGTCACGTACAAAGATGTTTGAACTTGCATGCCCTCATTATCAAAGGAAATTCAGACAAATATCTTTGTTTTCCTAATCGCATAATCCAGCAAAGTCTAAGTAACACTTCTTGGATTTTTTTTTTTTTTCCCTCTTTTCTGGACAGGCTTTGATCTTGAAACAGTGAAAAGCAACATCCGTATTCTGTTTGAAAATGCTGTTAGAAAACGTTTGATGGCTCACAGAAGGATTGGTTGTCTTTTGTCAGGTAAGTAGCAAGAATCACAATTCTTGTGTCTTCTCTCTCTTTCACCCATAATCTAACAGTTAGAGGAAAGTATGCTGGCTGTTCTGCTGCGATATACCTGAAGTGATCTGAATCTCATTTGCTTTTTAGTTACAGAGGACTTGTTAGTTTGTGATAAAGTTTTCCAGTTTACAAGTATCTTGAAAGTCTTATGCTTTTAAAGTTTACTCTGGGATGGGATGTTGGCTTGTTGAGACACTGACCATTTTTGACTAAGAAAGAAAAACAATACTCTTATTGAATAATCACCCAATATGTTCTTAAACATAAAAGATTTATGCTTAGGTTGGTGTTCAAAAAGAAAATGTAATTACTACATTCACTGTGCGCTGAGTGAGCCCCATCCAGCCTGACCTTGAACGCTTCCAGGGATGAGGCATCTACCACCTCTCTGGGCGACCTGTGCCAGCGTCTCACCATCCTCATTGTAAAACAAAAAAAAAAAAAATCTGCCTTATATCTAGTCTAAATCTATCCTCTTTTAGTTTAAAACCATTACCCCTTGTACTATCGCAACAGGCCTTGCTAAAAAGTCTGCCCCCATCTTTCTTATAAGCCCCCTTTAAGTATTGAAAGGCCACAGTAAGATCTCCCCGAAGCCTTCTCTTCTAGGCTGAACAACCCCAACTCTCTCAGCCTTTCTTCATAGGAGAGGTGTTCCATCCCCCTGATCATTTTTGTGACCCTCCTCTGGACCCGCTCCAACAGGTCCGTGTCTTTTTGTGCTGAGGGCTCCAGAGCTGGACGCAGTACTCCAGGTGGGGTCTCGCCAGAGCAGAGGGGCAGAATCACCTCCCTCGACTTGCTGGTCACGCTTCTTTTGATGCAGCCCAGGATATGGTTGGCTTTGAATATCAGTAATTACAGTCATTTATCATGAACCCTATTAAATGTGCATTTGAATGAGAGAGAACTGACTAGGAGATACTGTTGGACCATTTCCTTACTGTGGCATCATAAAAAGTAGGAGGGAGGTAAATGAAACAGGGAGATATGCAGACTTGGAAGATCCCAGCCTCAGTAAAAAGCCTGTTCAAAACACAAATTTCGGATATCAAATTAGAAGGTAGTCAGTAGCTCCTCAGATGCACATGCAGAATGTATTAGTAGCAAAACTAAGTGCCCGTGCTGGTATAATACCAGAGTATCTCAGTCCTTCACAATTTTGAGTATGCTTGGAGCATCACGGTTGGAGAATTGCTTTTGTTTCCAATCACGGAGGGAGTTCTGCAACTTCACAATGGAAACTCAGGTTTTGATTTCCCTGATTTCCGCATCCTAAGCACTCAGTTTGATTTCTGTGCTCTCCTTTTCTCAGACTCTGCATGTAATTTCTACAGGAGTTTTTTTTTTACAAGGTAGCATGCCCACAAAGGGGATCAAGGTGGGAATGGATGCTAACGCACTCAGCTGAAAAACTACATGCAGACTATAGGAAACAAAGAGAAGAGGATTTTGCCTCATGCTTGTCAGAAATGCAGGCAGGTGTGGGAGAACAGGTGCTGTGTTTTGCTCAGTACTTCAAAGGGGAGCAGCAAGTCAAGGATTAACAGAACTAGCTCATGAGAATAAGAAGGTGGAGCCTTAGGGTACATCTAGGCACGTTGTGCATCTCTTGGTTTTATGTTTTGTTTGTTTTCCAAACTGTTCAAATCCTTCCACTGTCCTCCTCTGAGAAAGAAGAGGAGTCAAAAAAAAAAAAAGAGTGTCACTAGTGAACCTTTTCACTTTGAAGGGATGGTTAAAAAATTAATTCCACTCAAAATGTGTGAAACACACTTTTGAAAAATGATTGGGGAAGAGTGGAATCCTAACACTAAACATTCTGTTCTTTTACTTAATTCTTTTTTATACAAACAGCAAAAAAAATTTTACATAATTCTGTCAGTAGAGTATCAAATGTGTAGGTAAGAAGAGGATAGAGAGTAGTTTTGAAATGGAGAATAAATCCCATTACAGCAGAGGTGAGAAGGGGCATGATCTGTAGTGGTACAATGTTTTCAGAACACTTCCTGTGTATCTTAAAGAAGGATTTCCACTGATGCTGCTGAGACCAAAAGCACTAACAACTGTTACTGAAGATGTTCCACTAAAGTTGCCTGATTCTCTTGTTAAGCAGAGGTAAATGGGCACTTGTACGAGAAGTACCTTTAATTCACATGGCTTACAAATGAAGTCCACTCATGAGATTCCGCTATCTAGACTCAGTGTCCTTAAGAGGAAACAAAAAACCAGTCAAACACCTAATCAAATAATTTGTTTTGTTGGCAGGGGGCTTAGATTCCAGCTTGGTTGCAGCTGTTCTTCTGAAACTGATGAAAGAAATCAACATCAATTATCCATTACAAACCTTTGCAATCGGAATGGAAAACAGCCCCGACTTACTGGCTGCCAGGAAGGTATAGTAAGCGTTGCTTTCAGTTTGTTCTGAGCTGCTGAATGCTAAACAGTGTATATTAATAGTGCTAACTTCATGGTATGGTATTAATAGTAATACTGAATATTCATGTATTGCTATGATGTAAATCAGTTTGCAGTAGATCATTTAGTACAACATTTGCTGTTTAGTTAAATCTTACAAAAGAGATAACTGAGCCTTACCTGTTTTCTCTTGCATTTGGAAGACGTTCCTGACAGACCCCCATTGCATTGTTACCAAAAGGACGGTACTTTGGAATTGTCTCAATTCTGTCTCTGGGTTTTAGGGTAAATCTCCATGCTATGGTTCCTATGCTGTGGCATTTGTATATATGTTAAATATTGTAAGTTAATCGTCAGTTTACTGAATTAAGAGCCTTGTACAAACTGTTTGGCATCTGGGGTACCTTTTAGGTATCCAGGCTGTCATGGCTTTTGAGCTGCTTTTTCTCTTCAGGGCAAATATCCGGAGTATTTAGAGCCTCTACAGATTCTGTTATGCTTTGGGCAAGCAGCTGGATGGTCTGTTGTAATCGTGATTGAGTACTGTAATTAGGGAGACTATGTTCCCTCTGGTGAATGTACCACTGCAAGTCAGAGGGGCTGCTACACTATTATCTTTCCTTGGCCTAATGTCATGTAATTCTCACTGTGGCAGAAGGGAGCTGGTGTTTTCACTCAGCGTGTGTGTTTTAAACACAATGTATGTTTAAAAAATGTTGTAATTGAAAAGTAATGTGTTATTGTGACCTTTTACAAACAGGTGGCAGCACATATAGGCAGTGAACATCATGAAGTAATATTTAATTCCGAAGAGGGAATTCAGGCAATAGAGGAGGTTATCTTCTCCTTGGAAACCTATGATATAACAACAGTAAGAGCTTCAATTGGTAAGATTTTTTTAGTAGCAATCTTTGCTTTATATCACCCAAATAAAATTTTATGCAAAATCATGTAGTTATCTGCTAGATCCTTTAGCTGTCACAGAACCTGGGAACTGGGATTCCCAAGTTCTGCTCCCCAGTCTTGTCTGTGATACCACACTGAGGCAAAAACAGATATTAGTTTCAAAGTGACTGACTGAACAAAACAATTGTCAAGAGCTGTTCCTGAAGCTTTGGGATGAAAAACGAAAATTACATGAAGAAGAAATGTTAGATCTACAGGTCTAGGTTTTCTGCTCTGATAAGCATGAGCCTTGGAGGAAGGGGGAAAATTTACCAGGTTATGTGAGGTACTGAATGTTATGATAGCAAAACAATTATGATTACCCTATTCCTTGCATAATTTTAATACTAAAGTGAAGTATTTCTTGTCACCCTCTAGTAACATGTGCATTCAAGCCAGGTAGACTTCTTATAATGTATGATTCTGAGAAATGAAGGAAGTCACCAGCAGCTTCTTACAAAGGGTGGCCAACCTGATAAGAATGAAAAACCCTAATCTAATGTGACCTTCTGTGTAATGCCAGCTATGACATTTTACCCAGTTAATCTTGTGTCAGCTTAAAACATTGTAAAAAAGTTAATAAGCCAAATAGGCAACACAGTTTTGAAAACCCAGGTCCCTGAGTGGAATTTGGTACATGAAGATAGGACTTTGCAATGCGAAGTATTGAAAGTGTTTGTGAAATATTGGAAGTGTTTCTTTAAAAAATAAAGTCAGCTTTTCATCTGTCACTTTTCTTCGTGATTGTGGCTTAATATGAGAAATAATGAACTAGATCCTTTTCATTAGATCTCTAATACTTTTGTTATAAAAACATGTTGTTTGGAAAGACACAATGGGGGGAAGGCATAGTTCTGATTAATAAATAATTCTTTAAAAAAAAATTGAAAAAAGGGCTTAATCCAGTTCAACCCACAACGGCAGAGAGTTAAGCAGCAACTTTTGCTTAGTAGTTTTGCTGGTAGTTTTGTTCTCCAAAGCTAGAAGGTTTGTTCAGGACTGTGCTGGAATTACGTGCTCAATTTCGAACTGAGTCAGAGCAACTCCTATTATGTGTTCCCATGGGAATCCTCCAACATTCCCAGGATCACAGACACACATGTATTTCTGATATTTTGAGGGCTAACTATAAGTACACGGTTTAGATGTATTGGCAGCACTTAGTTTGTGTGGCTGTTGATGGCTTTGAATAACAATGAGATGTTATTTTAGTGTATTGCAGTTGTTTGCTACAGAAGACAGTAGTGTAGGAGAGAAACTTCTATAATGCTAAATTTAAAACTCTACTAGCTGTATATAGCATCATACATGTAGCTGTATTTTAAAAACTTTATACTTTTTTTTTTTAAGGTATGTATCTTGTCTCCAAATATATACGGAAGAAAACAGACAGTGTGGTCATTTTTTCAGGAGAAGGATCAGATGAGCTGACACAAGGATATATATATTTCCATAAGGTAAATATATTCGCTATACAGAAAGCCCTTGAGCTGCTTGTTCTCCCCTTCAACAGAAAATCTCTGCCGAGATTTCAAGGTGTGAAGTTTGAGAATTGTCATAGCTGTATATTTGCTTAGAATTTCTCCTGAGGTGGCATAAAATCCAAGGGATTCAATTTAATTACTTGAAAAACTTTTTTTAACTTCAGAATTCCTGAGTCTGTTATTTCTTGTATGTGGTCTTTGCTAGTTCTGAGGTCACTCTGTGATCATTACAACTCAAACACCAGACAGCAAGTAATGGTTCCCTCAGTGCAGCTGTATTATGTCTGTGTGCTACATGCATATGTCTGGTTACAGGCGCCGTCTCCCGAAGAAGCTGCAGAAGAGAGCGAGAGGCTTCTGAAGGAGCTCTACCTGTTTGATGTACTTCGTGCGGACAGAACTACTGCAGCACACGGGTAAAACGTAGTCTCTTGGATGCTGAGGACTTGTGTGATTTAAAAGATGTTCAGATGGTGTTCCCCAGGGCTCAGTATCGCCGTCTCCCGAAGAAGCTGCAGAAGAGAGCGAGAGGCTTCTGAAGGAGCTCTACCTGTTTGATGTACTTCGTGCGGACAGAACTACTGCAGCACACGGGTAAAACGTAGTCTCTTGGATGCTGAGGACTTGTGTGATTTAAAAGATGTTCAGATGGTGTTCCCCAGGGCTCAGTACTGGGCCCAGTTCTGTTCAATATCTTTATCAATGATCTGGATGAGGGGATCGAATGCACCCTCAGTAAGTTTGCAGACGACACTGAGTTGGGCGGGAGTGTTGATCTGCTTGAGGGTACGAAGGCTCTATAGAGGGATCTGGACAGGCTGGATCGATGGGCCGAGGCCAATTGCATGAGGTTCAACAAGGCCAAGTGCCGGGTCCTGCACTTGGGTCACAACAACCCCGTGCAACACTACAGGCTGGGAAGTGGCTGGAAAGCTGCCTGTCAGAAAAGGACCTGGGGGTGTTGGTCGACAGCCGGCTGAACATGAGCCGGCAGTGTGCCTAGGTGCCCAAAAAAGCCAACAGCATCCTGGCTTGTATCAGAATAGACTAGACTAGACTATTTCAGTTGGAAGGGACTTACAATGATCATTTAGTCCAACTGCCTGACCACTTCAGGGCTGACCACGTTAAAGCATGTTATTAAGGGCGTTGTCCAAATGCCTCTTGAACAGTGACACACTTGGGCATCGACCACCTCTCAAGGAAGCCTGTTCCAGTGTTCAACCACCCTCTCGGTAAATAAATGCTTCCTAATGTCCAGTCTAAACCTCCCCTGGCGCAGCTTTGAACCATTCCCACGCATCCTATCACTGGATACCAGGGAGAAGAGATCAGCACCTCCCTCTCCAGTTCCCCTCCTCAGGAAGCTGTAGAGAGCAATGAGGTTGCCCCTCAGCCTTCTTTTCTCCAAACCAGACAAGCCTGAAGTCCTTAGCCGCTCCTTATAGGACATGCCTTCCAGCCCTTTCACCAGCTTTGTTGCCCTCTTCTGGATGCATTCAAGGACCTGAACATCCTTCTTAAATTGTGGGCCCAGAACTGCACGCAGTACTCAAGGTGAGGCTGCACCAACGCTGAATACAGTGGGATAATCACCTCTTTTGGCCGGCTGATTATACTGTGTTTGACGCACCCCAGGATGCAGTTTGCCTTCTTGGCTGCCAGGGCACACTGCTGACTCATACTGAGCCTGCTGTCGACCAGCACCCTCAGGTCCCTTT